CTACGGAAAAATCCACTCATCTCTGTTCCCTCCTCCCCTTGTGCTATGAGTGGACACTAATGTTGGTGTGACGCACTTCAGAGTGGTGAGAGCATGTTAAAAAGAGTCTTGAAACAGGTCACATTGTTTAAAACCACGTTTCCTGGCAATATATCTGTTTTTGCCATCACCACATGACATTAGGATAGATGCAAATAAACAGAAAGACAGTAAAACGTACACTATCAGAAAATCAGGTCCATTTTCTTTTGTTTTACAAAGGTACAAACAAGGTAAATGTGCCCTCAAAGGTACAACAGTGGTCTTAAGGTCCATTTGTGTACCGTTTGAAAGGGGCTCATTTACCTTCCCAGGGAAGAGGGGCATATTTGCCTTTTCACAACCTTTGAAATTGAAAATAAAATTAATAAATATCCTTGAGGGTGCCATCACAACCAGAAACTAGAATTTCCTACCTCAGAAAATTGGTCAAACCAGGTTTTGGATTACTATTACAATTTTGTTACGTGCCTTGACCAATGGCACAACCAGGTATCCCCATCCAGTCCAGGGACTGGAACCCATGACCTACTGGTTGCTGACTCAGATCTCCTACCACTAGGCTACAGACCACCACAATGCAAGCAAATGCACATTAAAATCAATACATACCGCATTAATGTCATTTGCATTTGCTGTAATATTTGCATGTTTTCTAAGCAAATAAATGCTTCCTGCCCAGATAAATGCTTGTTTAAATCCAGTTTTCTCAGGTGCCTAAAACCTTTCCACAGTACTGTAGAAAAGAGAGAAGTCAGAAGAAATACCTCACATAATAACTCTGAATAAAATACACAGTGTGGGGGTATGTGTGTGATGAATTGGCTGCCTGGCAGTGTTTTTTGTTGTTGCCTTGGGTGTGTTGGAGACAGGTATACTAGCTCACTATGACAAGCATGCCTCCAGGGGATGCAGCACACAAGTGCAAAAGCCATCTGAGGTCGTGCTTATGAGAGCTGCAGTGTGTATGTGTGTGTCTCAGCATGAGTAAAGGACTTTCCCTCTATTCTTTACGATTCCCAGACTTACTTATGCGTCACACCGAAGTGTGGTGTCTCCCAGGTATGTGTGTGTGTGTGTGAGAGAGAGAGAGACACCTGGATATTTTTCACTACCATCTGCACACACGCATAAATCTGATTAGTCCTGTCGGTGTCTGAGTGTTGTACAAATACTGATGACGGAGCACTAACTGCCAAACACTCTCCACCATGAGGCCTACACATTATAAGAAAAAACATTAGATGAAATAAAGCAATACATACGTCCCCCAAGGCAGCGACCACATCCCTTAGTCATGTTTCAGGGAGGGCTGTCTGCCAGCACAGCTGGTGGTAGATTAATAGTGCTGGATGAAGTTCAGTGTAAATGGGTTTGATTAATCATCTTTTAATCAGACACTGGTTACTGCTCTAATGAGGTCTGATTTCACTCAGCCAGGCTGCTGCTGAGCTCAGATGTGGGAAGCAGAGGATTAGAAATGTGGTTCTTTGTGCGGGTGGTCTGATGTGGAGTTTACGGCTGTGTCTCCACTCTAAGTCTTCTGGGAAATAGGGGTGCGGATCGATACTCAAATATCAATACTTCCAATCCGGACGTTTCTTTTTTTGTTCGTTTTTTAGTTTGAAAAGAGATTTTATTGCTTCCGGTTTTGTCTTGGTAACACAATTGCTGCCATTTTATAAATTATGCATAGATCTCTGATGTCATAATAATTTCTTTGAATTATGATTTTTTCATGATTTCATGATCATGAAATCTCAGTTCAGTTTGTGGTGATTAGTTTTTTATGTCACAGATTATTAAAACAGCACACGATAAATATATATATTTGAATAAAACCATTTTAGATGCTTAAGTAAACCTATTTTTGAAGGCTAACAGCTGACGTTTCTTTCTGAGGACCAATCCTCACATGACAATATTGATACTAGTTGTTTTCGTTAAGCATTAAATATATGTATATGTATCAGTATTATTAAAATGGTGAAAAAAAGTTAAAAAAAATTATAGCAAAAAAATACATACACAAAAAAAGATTTTCATTGTAAAATTTAATGGTGAATTTACTTTTGTTAATTTACAGAAATAGCATGCAATTTCACAAAAAAACAAATGATCCCCTTAATTTCACAGACATTTGTGTTTTGCGAATTCACATTCTTATGCTTGTCATTACATGATGGTAAAATACTTTTTGTTAGAATATCTAGTTGAACTAGTAAAGATATTGAATTACTGTAAAAGTCTGTATTTTTAAGAACTCAAATGACTGTAATTTTACACATTTTTACCGTCCTTGCGAAAACATGCTTTTACTGTTAATGAATGGTTTTTGTCTGGCAACCCTTTGTTTTTTTTCTGTTTTTTTTTCACAACGTAAGATAGGACCTTTCCTTCAGCCCTCTCCCTCTGCTTCTCACAAACACAGGCCTAGACAGACAAAAGCTTCTGTTAATGCTCTATAATGGCAGCTCATTCGGAGTTATTCCCTAAACAGACAGTCTGTGCGGCAGTTTATTTAATACTAAAGCAGGCCTTTGAATATAATTTGTAATGTCTACTTCTTTACTGGTTTTCACTGTAGAAATCACCAAGAATTGACCCTCTTTTAAAGTATTGGTGTCTTTTATTGGGATATTAGCATTGGTAGCTGGCGCTGTATTGGAAAGATGCAACAACCCAACATCAAACACAACTTCTGTCCCAACATCTTTTTTACTCCTGCTTAATTAGATTCCTGGACAAAGTACTTTGCTCCTGTGCAAGTATGTTTTAGGAGCACCAGCGCTTCTACTTGTTGTTTAACTCTTTTCAGTTTGCAGATAGTGATGTACCTTTAGTAGGAATCGTTGACAGTTCAAAGAAAATTTAAATCACCTTCAATTAGTCAAGACATGTTTAGTGTCTAAAGTTGGTTTCTTTAATTTTGCACTGAAGATATTAGGCTAATGTAGCTAGCAGGTGATTTAAGCATATATACCACAAATTAGCCTTGTGCAAACTGCCTGCCTAAATCATCACACCATAAAATATTTGACTAAAAACTGGATACAATTCAGGATTCAGTATGCCTACATTTTATAGTGTCACATAAGAAAGACTGCTGAACAACTCAACTCAGTTTGAGCTAATCAGTGGTCATAAGCTTCCATTACTCGATAGCCACATTAGCCTCATACAGACCTAAAGAAGCAAGCCCAAACATACATTTCATGTCTTCACTGATTAACTACATTTGGGCTAACAGGTAAATTGTGTAAATTACAATTTTTTTTCTAGACTAACACTGTAAAGATGAATTCTGATAATTTTACAAAATGTATGCATAGACTGTTATAATGCAGACAAAGTCTTTCAGACCAGTTTGATGTGAATTGCACTATTCTAGAGAAACGTAAGGCCATCGTCTACCGGACACACTGCATCGAGCAGCATACAACAATTCAAAGCCATTGTTTTTTAATGAAGGTACACACAACGATGCCCACTTTCACCGCTGCTCTGTGACTCACAGCCCTGTTCAGTTTCACAGTGTTTCATTGCCACAGCGCGCCACTCAGCATTTTGCCAATACCATGTTAACTAAAGCCATATCGAGACACGCCAGTCTTTCAGAAAAACAAACAAATGCTAATGATGTTAACTCAGCTAGCGTTACTATCCTAGCCTTTTTTCATTTTGTACCTTTCAGCTCAAAAAGCGCAAGTTTGTGAAGAGGTAGTAACTGATACCAAGCTGATGATAAATGATGATGCAAATTTAATTTCATTAAATCTATATAAGTATAGTGTAAAAACGAACCTGATCTCTCGTAGTAGCCTGCACACACACACACATTTTCTATGCCGCTTATCCTTCTGGGTCACGGGGGGAACTGGAGCCTATCCCAACGGTCATTGGACAGAGGCAGGAAACACCCTGGACAGTTCGCCAGTCCATCGCAGGGCACGTAGTAGCCTACAGAAACACTTTATACTGTATTTAATGCCTTTTAAAGCTACCTCACACAAAACTATTACATTAAATAATTACAAGTAGTTTGCCTGATGACTCTTAGATAAGATTTTTAGATAAGGTATTGGCCTCTAACGCATTTTTAAAAAGCTGTTAAAGTCAGAGACGTACATGCAGGGCATTATGAGACAAAATAGTCCCCAAAGACTATTAGTTTTTGGATTTATTACTATTTTACTGTTTATTAACATGTCATATAAAAAACAGAAGACACATGTAAGTAACTGGTCGTAAATAAAGTATATATGTGTGCTGTAAACATCACGACCCCTGGTTCCTTTCATCACCACTGTAAAGAAACCTGAGTCAGTAGGTTTGTCTATAATGCATCAATTGTCATCAAACTATCAATGACTTAGTTTACATCTCAACAGTAAAATATGTTAAGTAAATGCTGGAATTCCCCTTTTAAGTCAGCTCGTGGTAAAGCGCTGAAAGTGATGAAAGGTGCACTGATAATGAAGTGAATTTATTTGATTCCATGTGAGTAAAAGAGTTACAGAATCCAGTAAATTCCATGCATCACCTTTTTTTAGTGTAACTTGCATTGCTCGTCCTGCTGCTGTCTTCCATTAGGCTGGAGATGAACACGTTTGATTGCTGAATAATTTCCAGGAAAAACAAGCTGATCTTCGCGCTGCTTAACGGAGCTTATGGAATACCAAAACTGTGACCCTTCCACCTAATACAAGCAGATTTGCTTACAAAGGTCCAGCTTCACCAAGACAAACAAACAATCCATTGAACAGAACCCTGTGGGAATAAATATTTAGTTTAACAGATCTGTAGAAGAATGCAACGGATAAGAAAGATCAAAGATTTACCTCAGCAAGACGTTTTCTACATGATGTCCTTTGACGTAATTGGTTGCTGCACTGAAGCTGACCCTCTCTCTCTCTCTCTCTCTCTTTCTTTTTCACTCTCTTTCTCTCTGTCTCTCTCAGGTGGTTCTGCGAGGGGCGGGAGCTGCACCACTGTCCTGATATTCAAATTTGTCGGGATGGTGACCTGCACACGTTGGTGATTGCTGAGGCTTTTGAGGACGACACGGGCAGGTACACCTGCGTAGCCTCCAACGCTCTGGGAGCAGACAACACCTCTGCCGAGGTCTACATAGAAGGTGAGGATCCTCAATATACAGCACTGTGCAAAAGTCTTAAGCATCTGAGAAAATTCTTTTTAAAGCCATTTATCTGGGTAGCCCTTTTTCGACAAAGTTGCGCAAAAAGGAACGCAGGTTTGATCACCTTTAATGATGTATGAACTACTCTGTGTCTGATTAATGAAACTTTTACACGACTTAGAAACAAGATTTGAGCGTAAACGATGAATCAGCTTCAGTGCGTGAAATCAAGCGCCAGCACTTTATCTACATATCATTTGTATGATGCATGCCCTAATTCATGCAGATATTGTGGTAGGGAGCTAATAAAACGACAGATGTTTTGTTAAACTATTACACTCTTCACACATGCTCCTACCAGACACAAGTTTGAGCATACAGATGATGATAAAATCACGATCACGTTTGATTCTTGGTTACTTTTTCATTAGAGACGCAGATTTTGGCAGTGGTTAACTGTTAATTAGGGCAGTCGTGGGCTGGAGGTTAGGTAACCAGCCTTGTGACTGGAAGGTCGCTGGTTCGATACCTGGAGCCGACAGTACATGACTGAAGTGCCCTTGAGCAAGGCACCTAACCCCCAACTGCTCCCCAGGTGCCGTGGATAGGGCTGCCCACTGCTCTGGGCAAGTGTGCTCACTGCCCCCTAGTGTGTGTGTATGTGGTGTTTCACTGCATAGTTGGTCAAAATGCAGACGTGAAATTTCCCTGTTGTGGGACTAATAAGGGTCACTTAACTGGTGTTGTGTACACATCCATTCAATTCTGTATTAAAAAGTGTTCCTAGTGTGGACTGTAGAATGTAGTACTGAATAGTGGTGCCAAGCGTATGTATCAAAGACATGGCCAGAAACCGTATAAAACATTCCCAATATAAAACCCCTGTTCTGTTTACACCATGGGGCTCAGAAGCATATGTTCATGATTATGTGACCAAAAACTAAAAGCTGGATGACATAATTTGAGTATATAATGATGCCCTACTGACAGTTTTATATCCTAAAATTCTAAAGTTGTGTTTACCACTAGCACAGAGAGATATACACTGGCCAAAAAATGGCCAAAAGTATGCAGGCACCCCTTCTAATTATAGAGTCCATGTGTTTCACTCATATCCATTACTCACAGGTGTATAAAATCAAGCCCCAGTCGACTGTAAGTGCTATTATTGTGAAATGGAAGCACCTATTAGCAACAACTGCTCAGCTATTAAGCGATAGATCATACAAACCCACAGAGTGGGCTGCTGAGTGCTGAAGCATGTAACGTATAGCATGTAAAATTGCCTATCCTCTGTTGCATCACTCGCTACACAGTTCCAGACTGCCCCCAAAGCAACATCAGCGCACACACTGCACGTCAGGTGCTTCATGAAGTGAATTTCCATGACCGAACAGCTGCCATGCCAAGCGTCGGGTGGAGTGGTATAAAGAATGCTGCCACTGGACTCAGTGGAAGAATGACCTACACAAAGCTCTGACCTCCATTGAATAATTCTGGGATAGACTGGAACATCGATTGCAAGCCAGGCCTTCTGGTCCAACATCAGTGCTTGACCTAACAAATGCTCATTTGACTGAATTAGGCCCAATTTCCTGGGACAGACTCCAAAATGTTGCCTTCCCAGAAACTGTAGACTGTTGTGGTCACAAAGTGGGGCCAACTCCATATTAATACCCATGATTTTGGAATAGGATGTCCAACAAGCTCATATGGATGTGATGGTCAGGTATTCACATACTTTTGGCCACATAGCGTATATGCACAGATGGGGCCAACAAACACAAGTGCAAAGAATAAACAGGGCAAACAAACAGGACATAGAGACCAAACTGGCAGAGCCAGAATGAGGGGGAGCCAGACTGGGACAGGGTCAGGATGAGGATACCAGACCATGACGGACATGTTGAACACTCTTAAAAATGAAGGTGCCAAAAGAATTATTGTAGGGGTGTTCAGACTTATCGGCAAAGGTCCGGTGTGGCTGCAGACTTTAATTCCAAACAAGCATGAGCACATCTGATTCTGCTGATTTAATCAAGTAGTCTTTGATCATGAGCTCCTGCCCTGTTGGAATGAAAACCTGCAGCCACACCGGCCCTTTGCGGATAAGATTGGACACCCCTGGATTATAGCAGGTGTAACACTACTATAGCAGGCCTCTACACTATGGGTGGGCAAATTATGTCGTGATACGCTTACCTGAGCCTGGCAGGTATCATCGCTGTTTCTAGGACACTGGCCCATTAAATGCTTCATAAAACAATAGAGATTTACACCAATTGTGGAAGCTGTAAATAAACAACTAGTGGGGATGAACTATCCAACTAAAACTGCACAATAACAAGGAGCTGATTGGATGCCAGTTATGTTATGTCTTTGTTTTTTTTTTACTTTTGTTTATTATGTTAAAGTACAATAAAAACATTAGTAATTTTTTATTCTTTTTTATTTAGCATTGTTGTGTTGGTGGGGCGGCACGGTGGCGCAGTGGGTAGCGCTGTCGCCTCACAGCAAGAAGGGCTTGGGTTCGATTCCCGGCCGGGTGACCAGGGTTGTTTGGAGTTTGCATGTTCTCCCCGTGTCTGCGTGGGTTTCCTCTGGGTACTCCGGTTTCCTCCCACAGTCCAAAAACATGCAGTCAGGCTGATTGGACGTGCTAAATTGCCCCTAGGTGTCTGTCTGTCTGTCTGTCTGCCCTGCAATGGACTGGTGACCTGTCCAGGGTGTATCCTGCCTTCTGCCCAATGACAGCTGGGATAGGCTCCAGCACCCCACCGTGACCCAGAAGGATAAGCGGTTTAGATGATGGATGGATGGATGGATGTTGTGTTGGTGATGATTATATCTGTTCAGACTAGTATGTAAATCCCATAAACACTAAATATTGTGAGATGTATTATGAAATTTCTTCAAATATCATCTCTCTCTCTCAAAATTATAAGCACATATATTTGTTATTTTGTTTTTGTTATGTTACATGTGTTCTGGGGTTTGTCCTTTATTCTGGCTGCTGTTTACATGCATACATACCACTAATGCTTTCATTTATTCTTACTGTCTCCTCACTCTGTTGTGTTTTGGTCTTTGCGTCTTCATGCTCTGTTTATGTGTAAATGTGTGTAGTTTATGTTATTATGGAATTTAACGAGTCCATGCAGTGTCTGGAGTGCAGTGAGAAGTCAGGAACCAAATCTGCATTCTTCTAACCACAATATTAATACCTTTTAAAAACGAAGATCTTTTTTTATTGTATTTGTGTTTATCTATATATATTCTAATGTTAGAACAAATAAATATATGTTATATAAATGTTATATAGTGCTTTTAGAAGCAAAAGACAGTATGAGTAAATGGAAGTATTAGTGGTATGTATGTAAACAACAGTCAAAATGAAGGACAAACCCTACACTGTCAGATAAAAAGGTGCTGTGCAGGTACATTTTTCATTCAATGTAAATGTTCCCTCAAAGCTACAGCAGTGGTTTTAAGGTCCAATTGTGTACCTTAAATACATTTTTTCCCAGGTTAAAAGTACATATTTGTACCTTTTCATAACCAAATGTTTTAAAACAGAACCATAAAATAAAAGTCCTGGAGGTGAGACGGGGTGTGTGGAGTCAATACACCTTAGGAAATATGATTTCAGTGGATTTTGGTACAGTTATGTTCCCTGACTAAAGGTACTGAGATGGACCCTTGAGGGAACCACCCCAGTGACAAGAGGGGCACTGCCCCAGTGACAGTTTAGTACCTTTACTTCTGAAAGTGCATAGCACAAAAAAATAGTAAATAAACAGAGTATACCTATAATTTAGGTACCTATAGTAGTGTACCTGTGATTAAGAGAGAGAGAAAGAAAGAGAGGTGGGAGAAAAATGTGTAGAGTAGGCAAAGATGATGTAGAAAAGTATTATGATGCTTGAAGACACTTTCATAATACATGAAACATACCCTGATTTTTAGTGTCTCTGAGATTTACACAGTGCATCAGGAAAACAATAGTGCTAAATTAAAAAAAGAATGTGCTTTGGTCCTTCGCACCTAAACACCACTAATACTTCAATTTAATCTTGCTGTCATGTTCTGCTCTCTGTCATGTTTTGCTCTTTGTGCCTTTGTGCTGTGTTTATGTATAAATATATATGTGTAAATATATATAGTTCATGTAATTATATGCTTTTTGTTAAGTGTATGCAATGTCAGTGGATTTGCTACTGTAGTACTTAAATTACTCCTTTAGCATTGGGAAAGTACATATCTCTCTCTCTCTCTCTCTCTCTCTCTCTCTCTCTCTCTCTCTGTAGGAGCCTCCTCTTCAGACTCAGACGGGGAAGGATCAGTGCCCAGATCTAAGTCGGGAGCCATGCCACAGTACGTTTATCATTATAACCCTTTGACATGATGTCTGACTTTTAGTGACACTCTGACCTTTTGGCCTAAAGCAGTGGTCACCTATGCTCCTCCTGGAGATCTATTTTTCTGCAGAGTTTAGTTCCGACCTGCATCAAATATGCTATCCCCTCCTTACCTAACACCAATACATCTGATCCAGCCAATGAAAGACTTCTGAAGAACTGACAAACTCAATTCCAAAAAAACAGAAAGTAGTGATTTGTAAACTGTTTTAGGTATTTAATTAAAACAGCACAAAGAAGAGATATTTAATATTTTAACATAAACCCTTTTTAAAATATATGCTAATTGCAAATTTGATGCCTGCAGCACATTCTGAAAACATTGGGACAGGGGCAATGTAAGACGAGGCTGTTTGTGGAATCATCAAAAATGCCAGTTTTGGAACAATCATCACGCTATCATGATTGGCTAAACAAATAATCCAGCAGCCCCTTTGATTGTAAGTAGTTTAAAGGTATCACCATCTAAAGTCTGTAACATTATTAAAGTCTCACGGAATCTGGAAAAATATCCGTGCATAAAGGGCAAGGCTAAAACCAATATTTAACGTCTGTGATCTTTAATCCCTCAGATGGCGCTGCATTAAAAACCGCCATGCTTCTGTAAGGAATGTAACCACATGGGTTCGGGAAAACGTCAGAAAACCCTTGTCAGTCAAAGTTCGTTGTTGCATCCACAAATGCTAAGATTCTACTATGCAAAGCAGAAGCCTTGTATTGACAACATTCAGAAACGCCGCCGACTTCTCCGGGCTAAAGCTCATCTAATATAGACTGATACAAAGTGAAAACCTGTGGAACAATTACTAAACATTTTTAAAAGGATAGATGGTGCAACACAGTGGTAAACATGCTCATGTAGCAACTTTTTTGGAACATGTTGCAGGCATCAAATTTAGAGTGTAAAGTTTAGAGTGTAAAGTTAAGTGTGAAGTTAATTCATTAAAACATAATTTTTTGTCTTTGTACTGTTTTCAGTTGAATACAGATCAAAAAGGATTTGCATATCATTGCTGTCTGGTTTTATGTACATTTTTCCAACTGCTCCAGTTTTTTGGAATAGGATTTTTAGTTGAACTACACTCTACAGGAATGTAGATCTTCCAGACCAGGCTGACCAGGGTTGGTGACCAGGCTAACTGCCCCTTTCATTATGGCTTTGCTGTACAAGCTTGCAATAAAGTGCCAACAAAGCAGAGAAACACTGAGATACATAATAAATAACGTCAGTTGTTTGCAGAGACACATAGAAAATTAATAGCTTTACCATTTCTCTGCTTAACATATCTCTCTCTACCTGCCTGCCTCTTTCTGCTGACGCTGCACGAGCTCCCTTCCTTCCTCTCCCAAAATCATCCCTCCATCCCTCTTCCTCTCCTCCTACACCCTTCTCTCCTTCCCTTCCTCCTCTCACTAATCAACTGACATCACTGTTGGCTCTGCAGTCCTTTATAAGGTGCAAATTCAGACAGTGTGGCAAACACATTAGTCTAGTTTTCCTGATCTCCTGAGGGGTATTTAGACTGACCTGCTGTGTGTGTGTGTGTGTGTGTGTGTGTGTGTGTATGTGTGTGTGTGTATGTGTGTGTGAATGTGTGCAAAAGTGCAGTGACCACACACAGCAAGTATAGGAGTTAAACATTATTAAACAATGCATAATTTTTTTCCTTAATTTTTGTATGTTCAGTAATCATTTACAGCTGTATTAAAGCAAAAGTTTAGGCAAATAATTAATTTAAACAATTTTCTCACTTACCCTGCGTCAACCATGAATACACACAATTCTGTGTAAACCTCACATGAAAATGATTTTTTTCTTGTGCATGAGAGTGATTATGTATTTAAACTACTCATGATCACGTTTATGTAGAAACCCTTGTGATAGAAAAGTGTAAACTGATTATGAGATGCGCGAACTCTCATTAATTATCAGCTATGTCAGCACAACTAATAGAATGATTTCTAACTATTGTGCTCATACACTGAAAAAATGTTTTCATCAGTTCAACCTAAAAATCTCAAAAACATCTTAATATGGTAACAAGCAGTCATAAATAAATATGTTCATTGAAACAAAGCAAAAATAAAATAATACTTCTGATGAATAAAAGCAATATTTTTCAGCCATTCAAATCTCAAAAATCCACTTTTTGAAATAGAACACATTTAATGTAAACAAGAAAAATAGTAATACTCATAATACTCATAGAACATGTAAAAAAAACATGTTTAAATAATGTTATGTGCAAGCTGTTATTGAATTGTCAAAAAATTGATATTAAATTCAATTACTGTTAAAATATGTTCAAATTGAATTCTTACAAGAAAACAAATATTAAGTGATCATGCTCTTATAGGTTAAATAGAAAGTTTTTACATGTAAGAACAGTTCACCTTTGCATATCGTTGCTGTCCAATGAAAGTGACGTTGTTTACCACATATAGCTGTGGGGTGAATCTTTATGTAAATTCACCTGGTTGTGCACAAGCAGAGCAGTGAAGGATTTATCATTGTTCATTGTGTACAGCTGTGTCCTTGAGGTGTAGTGGAATATTTACTATACATAACTAGTATACAGGAATTGAGTATCTGTATTCAGTCTGTGTCACATTTTGAAAAGGCAGAATTCAAAATGCAGTTATTTTTTGGTGAATAATCCTAGAATACTTTCTCACTAATCTTGAGAAGAAACACCATCAATGCACCATCAAACACGAAGAACACAACAAACAGCTTCTTTTCAAACACTGAATTAGCTGCTAAAGCCTGAGTAGACTGATAAATCAATGTGATGATCCAGTTATTTACATAAGCTCTTCTGAGGTATGGTGTAATTGAACAGTCCCATCAGTAATGGACATGTTCACATGTGATAAGCTTCGCTGTCAGTGTTGTACTGAACTGGTGCTTCATGTTTGGGGGGCGGGTGGATGGTTTGGGGGCGGGTGAAGGGGGGGGTACTCATTTCCAAAGCTGAAAAGAAGGTGCTATAAGACCTGGTTCTGTATTAAACAGTGTGGAATTATACTGATTAAAAATCACTCTGGACATATGTCTACTCATAGGTACACGGCCAAGTTAGCTAAATAGCAAGTCTGGTGAGATAATGAATTATCGTTAACTCACTACGTTCAATATCAAGGGGTTAAACCATGTTGAAAGCTGAATTTTGTTCATACTTTTTTTCATTTCTATAAATTAAAATTGTTGCCTATTCCTGTACATGACTGATACCACATGTTCTCAGTGCTATTGGCTCTAAACAGTACATTGGAACCTATTAAATTGACTTCCAAATTACAGTTCAGCCTGTGGGTAAGATGTGATGTCGTACACCAGTATTCAAAAACTTCTCATCTAAAACCGACACAGTTGACCACACGTGCGCTCATCCGGACAGCCACTCTCACTAGCCACTGTCCAACAATAGCAAATCCTCAGAGCCAAACAGGCTCTTAAACTGGGGCACATGTAACGAGTCATGTAGCCTTCGTGTGGGATGAAAACCGGCTGTTAAGCATTAATAGGCCACGACTGACCTCAAGTATTCGGCCGTCTCTGTCTTCAAAACTTTGTTGACCGCACTAAAGTATGAATTTTGTTGCTTTTGCAATAAGTGAAGCATGACAGCCCTACCCATACAAAGACTATTTTTTGTTCAGCGCAAAGAAGAGAGATGTCTGTGGGGGAAGTTTAAATGATCATAGCTGCAGAAACTGAACTATGCATGCTGTGTTATCATTAGTTATGTTCATTGTGGTGCTGGAATATGCTTTTTAACAGGCCTCAGAATCAGAACAAAAAAATCATTTGGTTCAGTCCAAGCAGAACCAGTATGCGTACGTTTCCATTCTCAGGAAACATTTGGAAGAAAATGGAAAAAAAAAAACAAACAAACAAACAAAAAAAAGATTAATTCCATTACTTTCATATACTATATGTAGGCCTAATATATGATGTTAAACCTCTTTAAATATACCCAGTGTACAGTAGCCTTTTAAAAACTGGCCATTCACTTTAACCAGACACCTGGCATCTTTTTCTTTTTGTTTGTTTTTTTTTTTGTTTTGTTTTTGTGGTGCAGGCCCATTGATCATTGTTGGAGAGGGAGTGGGAGTGCACATTATGTTGCAGTGTATGCTGGGAACTGTAGTGCAGTTCATGGTGAAATAGGCTAATGAATAGAAAATTAAAATAATTTTGCAGGCCAAATAGTATTGTGCCACAGGCCTCACTCGGCCCATGGGCCTTGTGTTTGACACATGGGGACTAGACAATATGAAATGAAATGAGACAAAAAAAATGTGTTGACGTTCGAAAACTGGTAATGGCTATAAACAACTACACACCTGAAATCGCCCTCGTCCACTACTAGGGCTTAGAGAGTCAGAAAATTCTCCAAAACACAGTTAGAGATTTGCATTGGATGATAGAAATTTGAATTCACCAAGTCTCCAAAACCATTTTGGAAACTTTGACTGGAACTGGTTCTGTGGTCAGACGAGACAAAACAATAGCTTTTTGGCAACAAACACTCAAGGTGGACTTGGTATAAAAGGAAGATGGTTTTGCAGAAAAGAACTTTAACATGTAATGGAAGTCAGTGTAAAAAAGATTTTATTCCAAGTCATTTTTTATCAATTCTATTGGTCCATTCATCATGACATTTTGTCCCAATGTAAAGAGCAGCTAGTGATTTCAATTCAGTTATTCATTTTGATATTTTTCAATGATTAAAAATGAAAATATCAAAATGGAAATAGAAGGTTTTGTTCCAACAGTGACAGTGACACATGCAATCATCAGAGTACATCAGGAAGTTAGGAACTAAACCTGTTTTCTTCTAAGATTACTTGTTTAAAAACAAACTTAGCTTCTGCTGTATTTATATATTTATATTTATATTCATTCTAATGTTATATAGTATTTTATTGCTAAAAATACACTTTTAGATGAGATAAATAGCTTTTAACAATGTTCATGGATGCCTCAGACTTTTTCACAGTTCTATATATTGACCATAGTCATAGTTTGTGCAGAGTGTTTGAGTGCTGTTGGGATATTTCCTCAGGGTTCAGAAGAAAACAGCCTCAGTGTCCCTGACCATTCGCTCTTCATCACCCAAAAGCCCAGAGAAACCGGCCCACCGCTCCACACTGCTCCAGCCCCTGTCTGCTCCTCCACAGAGAGTAAGATACATAAACACACACATGCACAGTTAAAGCACAGAGGTCTGGAAGGCTCATCAAGAATAACCACAGCAGATGTCGGGACGTACATAGAGAAGCCTGACACACTTTTTGGCAAGGCTGACTTTTGTATTACAACCATTGAAGAGACACTCTCTCTCTTTCTGATAGGTTCAGAGTCCAGTGTCCTCACAATATGCCGGTGATGGACTTCTAACAGCACCCCCTACCTTCACCAAGGTAATTCACACACACACACACACACACACAAACACACACACACACACACACACACACAGACACACACACACACACACACATACACTGACACTGGTTTTGCCCAGTGTCAGGATGTGGGGTCAAACAGTACATATGACTCATATGTATTATGCTTTGTGTATCCATGTCCTAAGCCTAATGTTAACTTCAGTAGCCAAAAGTTGTATAGGTTGTTATGGTGCAGTGGTTAACACCTCTGCCTTCTATGCTCTAAACTGGGGTTCAGTCCCCCGCTTGGGTAAGCACCCTATACTATACCAATAAGAGTCCTTGGGCAGAACTCCTAACACTACCGTTGCCTGCCTATGTAAAATGATCCAATTGAAAGTTGCTCTGGATAAGAACGTCTGCCAAATGCCCTAAATGTAATTGTATAGTCCTGTGCTAAAATCAGTGACCACTCTTCATTTATTTAATATCCAGTCAAAATGGCCATTAGGTACAAGTTATTGTTTCAGGAGGTGTTTCTGAGAATATTACATGTAAGGTAATCCACTCGCATAAGGAAGCAGAAGGTCAAAGGAAAATAAGTGTAAAACAGGAGTTTCCAAAACTGGAGTTTAAAAAACGATTAAAAGATGCAGAGAAAATGAGACTCAGCAACTGTACAAGACCTGATAGACCATCAAAACTGTCCTTATCAGATAAACAGTACTTATAACTTTCATGTTTGAGAGATGGGATAAAATCAAGCTCAAAAAATGTGGAAAAAGACAAAAACGTTGAACATTTGCAAATCAAACAATGAAGATGCTGGTGTTTTTTTTTGAACTGGGATTTCTTCGATTGTGAGAAGCAGAAAATGCAACCAACTTCTAAGACTGAACTTTTGTGGTGTTAAAAAATATCCCTGAAGTCACCTGAAAACAATGGAAACTGTAATAAAGGCAAAGACTAATAAAAACAAAGACTTTACACACTAAATACTGAAAAAGGTGATATGATATGTAGTTTTCGAGATTTCTAAGTTATTTTCTGTTAAATATATATTTTGTTTGTTTTTTCTGATACTATGGTTTGTACTTAAGGGCTATGTAAATTAAATAAATGAAGAGTGGTCTCTGACTTTTGCACAGAACTGCAGCTTTTGTAAATAAAAAATTAGTGCTGATATTGTAGGTTAGGCATTTGTTTCTCTAGTTTTCTTACAAAGTCAAGATTTTGTCTTGGAAAAATATAAAAACAAACATACACACTCTTTCTCTTTCTCTTTCTCTCTCTCTCTCTCTCTCGGACATCTTAAAACACTGGCAGATTAAGCAGGGTGTGATTACTTGATCTCTACTCTCTCCTGCCAGAAATACACTGTGTGGGTGTATGACTGGTCAGATGATGCCGTGTTCTTAGCAGACCTCCAGATGACCAGCACTAAACTCGGCCTCCTCTCGCTCAGCCACTAAATCTTTTTTTCCCTTTGTTGAAGTGAAAAAAGATTCAGAAAAGACATTTGATTTTCTTCACCTCTGTCCTTCTTCTCTGTCCCTCTGTCCCTCCATCTGTCCCATGCTGGGATTTTAATTGGCCAAATGAGAGCAAGTGGCCCAGTGATGTCATCCACAAACACACGTGCAAATAACTAGAAGTGCAGAGAGAGAGAGATGCACTTAGAGACTCGTATGTCCCAATGAGAGTGAGTCAAGTTTAAGTATGTCAACATGGCCATTTTGGGGCCCGTGTGCTTCTCATTCAGAATCTGGTCAAAATTAATTTAGTAACTTTTATTATATTATTACAATAAACAGCTAATAAGTTAAATAAAATAATTATAGAACCCAGAACTTTAGATTTGTCAAGTTAAAGTAACACATACAGTGTTTTTAAGAAGCTTGTGGCTGCAGCTTTTACATTAGCTACAAAACAGTCACTTGGTAAGCCTAGTCTATAGAAGCTTTAACTGATAGTGGATAATAATAAGTAAAATAAACATGGCAAGTGATATTAAAGGGCCTATATTGTGGAAAAACAAAATTTCCTTGCTATTCTGAATTCTAGTTTGATAAATTCTGTTAAAAGATTCAAGACGTACCATTCAATCCCCTGTCATTACAGTCTATATATGAAAAACTAATCTGCAAAGGCAGCTCATTTTGAATGACCAACACATTTACATAAACCTGCCTATTCAGCCTGTAGCAGACCCAGCCCATTCACGCCGCTGACATTATAAGAAATGTGTCAGCCCAAAGTGCTGAATGTGGCACAATACAAGGTAGCCAATCAGAACAGAGCTCATTTAAATACACACTAACTTTTAAAGACACACTAACAAAAACAGCCTGTTTAATTCTAAAGCAAAAAGAGTGGGTTTACATGGTCATGTAAAACTGAATTATGGCTGGTTTTGGTATATAAAACCACACAAACATCCTAAGTAGATTTCCGGGAGAAAAAAAAAAAAATCCAAGAGAAAAGTAGGATATGGGCCCTTTAAGCCAGGCATAATGGAACTGCTGAATGTTGCACACTGACTTTTTTAACTGTTTCAGATTAGGATGTGATGTGGGCTTATAAACTTTAGCAATGTAGATCAATAATAATGCTATGTTCAACAGTTATGTCTAAATTTGAAGGGCAAAGATTCAAACAAGTCATTCAGAGTGGTTGTGAAATGCTCTGTTCTAGAGAAGCTTGCCAAATCAGAATAGTCACAGTGGTGGTGACAGGAACCAGACGTCTGAAGCCTTACATTACACCTCTAAAAGCTGCGTCACATAATGTTATTGCACAAAAAAGCTCACAAGACACATGTGGGTTTACTGGTCATTTTGGATAGTAAATAAACTGACTATATTTGTGTTGCAGACGTTGTAACCTCTAGTTACTATCACTACCACGGTAAAGAAATCTGATAAGTTTCTCTACGATGAACCATTTTACAGCAAACCATTCTGAGTAATGTTTGCTTCTCAACGATTAAATTATGGAGCTTAATGGACTTTCCCTTTAAAGACAATAACAATTAATGATTAAAAAACCCTTTATACATCAGAGAAGGACGAGGTTGAGGTTGGGCCCATTATAAAACTATCAAATGGATCACTGCCACAGAGGCTACAGTTACATGGAAGTATGAATGAGAGTGATTCAGTGATGAGCGATGAGATGAGCTCTCTCATTAAGACGGCTGGTGCCGTGTCGGAAATGTAACGTAACATAGGCTGATACTCCTTTCCCTGTGTGGGTGTGTGTGTGTGTGAGAAAGAGAGAGAGAGAGAGAGGTGCTGAAAACAAATGCAAAGACTGTGGCCTCACATTCTGTCATCACTGCTTTCCTTTCCAGCCTTGTTTTGTTCACATGTCTGTCCTCCGCTGTGTCTTTCTTCGTCATCTTTCCCTGTTTTCCTGCCCTATTGACCTCGCAACCCCTCCTCTCTCTCTCTCTCTGTAGTTGTTGCAGGATGCGCAGGCGTCTGAGGGTCAGGTGGTGGTTCTGGAGTGCAGGGTGAGAGGTAGCCCCCCGGTGCGAGTCCAGTGGTTCCGGCAGGGTCAGGAAATCCAGGACTCCCCCGACTTTCGCATCCTGCAGAAAAGTACATTAATAAGACCTTCTACTGCATTACACTGTGATATTCATTGTCCCTGTTAAAGTGTGGCAAGTGTGTAATGATTTAGGCAGACACTTTGCACAGTGCTAATTGGTGGGGCATAAGCTTCAGTTACTTGTTAGCAACATTAGCCTTGGGTAAAAATGTGATTTTTTTGCCAAACTATTGCTTTACAGTTGAAATGGATACAAATGTTTCTCTGTATAATTACTAAACTGGTAAATGATCTATGGTGATTTGGTATTGGCTGATGGATCTGGTAGATCCACAGTCCTTTGTTTAAAAAAAAAAATCTTTCCAGTATTTTTCCTCAGTTTCCAGTTTAGACATTCTCTCTCCACCCTCTACTTAGATGTTCCCCAGGGAGGGAAGGCTAGCATGCGTTTCCGCTGAGTCACATGAAGCCAGCCATCACATTTTACCAAATCGGCACTAAGGCGACATCAGTGGACAGTTCAGCACGCTCGGAGAAGAATGCTAACTGCCAATTCTGTTATGGCAGCTAACAGACACCATTATTAGCTAGCATCAGACTGAGTGATGAGCAGGAGGGCCATCTTGGACCATGGATGGCTGTGGCATCGGCAGGGATCAAATCATAAAGGCCATTACAGCCTTTATTAAAAAATGCATTGTAATCTTACATTTGCTCTAATTCATCGCCACAGTGTCTGCATGTGATAACATGTCTACATGTGGATGATCCCATCTGTGATTGGCTCACACCACACACACACACACACACACCTGTGGCTTTATTCTGGACTCTCACTGGTTCCATTATTGTCCTTGGATTTCCGTGTTTGACCCTCTCTGTGTTCTCTCGGTTTGTGTGAACATGCCTGCCCGTGGGTGTGACCTCTGGCGGTATTGATGACGAGTACCGTAAACCAAAAGGCTTTTTGTGTTCCCAAACAAGTCCATTCAGCTACAGAGAAGATTAATGAGCTGCCAGTCTGCTTCACTGCTAAACTTTCAAAGACTTTGTAGGCTATAACATGGTCCATAATGGCCAATGTGGAGCCAGCTAGAAAAAATGCTATTGGCAAATAATGGAGATGTGTTCAAGTATAATAAACAGACAAGGCCTCAAGGTATCGCCACTCATTCTCTCTCTCTCTCTCTCTCTCTCTCTCTCTCTCTCTCTCTTTCTCAGAGCCGAGGTCTGCAGCAGAACCTGGTGAGTGCCCTTCCTGCCCTGACATGCTAAAACACTCGACATCACACACACATGCTACACACATTTATCAACTCATTCACTGACGCACTTTCAGTACGGCTGTTAACACACCTGCTATCTGCAACGCAACATGTGTACTATACCTGTGTATGATGTAATACAGACAACAGTGCTGTCATCACAAAGGATCTAGTTTATGACTCAGAGTTCAAACGCAAGGTTAGGGGAGTAGTGGTTCGAAAGGTTACTAAGAACTGGAAAAAGCATTTTTTTTCCAATGTTCGGAATTTCTTCAAATAGTTTAGGTGTTTTTGTAAAATGTCTAAGGATGTGATGCAGTGCTAAAAATTGCCTCCCACAGACTTTCATGGGGTTTAAGACAAAAAAATTGATTTTAGTGACTCCTTTATAGAGTTAATGCAGAGAAACTAGTATTCACTAACAGTTGTGCTGTTATTTCCATCTCTTGGAAAGACTTGATATAGAGCAGATCTTGTTTTTCACCTGGGACTATTTTACTGCTCTTCACGCATCCAAATGTTATTGCGATGTGTTTCTCTCAGGCGTTTGAACACAGGTAACTGTAGTTAGTATGGCTAGATTACTAGCTAACAAGCTAATAAGTGAATAAATATTTTTAAGAAGTATATAACAGTGCTCATTTTTAATTCACACATTAATTCTTATGGTTGAATAAGATCATTTTGAACCCAAAACATTTTGCCTGGTAATTCTTATCAGATTATCTATGACACTGTTGGCTTTCTGTATGTAAAATGTTGTGACTCTGTATTGAGCTGCTAGTGAGCAATGAGGAGTGAGAGCGGAGGGGTGAGAAGCCCCTGCTGTGAAAACAACTCATGCCTGTCCTCAAAGATGGCCATGCTGAGATAAAACAAACAGCTGCTGTCATATCAAAAAATCATGTTATAGAACAAAAAATTGATGCATAATTTAACCGCAGGCCTTCCAAACAGGCAGAAATAGCATTTTACAGCTTCAGTGAAAATATATTTGACATGTATGTAATATGACAGTAATGAGGTAGTAGCCCTTTAAGGAGCACACGTTGTAAGAAAAAAGTAAAAAAAAAGAAGTAGAAAGACTCTGGAAAAATGTGTTTTTGAGGAAATATGTTGGACTAATTTGTTCAACACTGAATATAAACCCTACGTCATCACTGTTTTGATTCCATAGTCGGGGATCCCTCAGCACAGTAACAAACGAAAAATTCTAGGCTGTCACATTGTGTGTGGAGACATCTTCTGAGTCACACACCATTCAACCTGGGCATGTGTGAGTGTGTCTGTCTGTGTGTGTCGCTTGCTGACTGCCGTGTCTAAAAGCCCTCCTCCTGTCACAGGCATTAGCTTGTTCTTAGGTTGTGAATCATTTGTTTCTGTCATTCACCCATCTGGCTCTGTCACACCCATCTGTAGGTGCCTTTCATTCTTAATAAATCCACTGAAGTGTCTGCCTCTCACTGTTACCTGCTGTCAAAGCACATCCGGCTCCAGTTATCGCTTCTGTAGTCTCAGCCTCAGACACTCCGCCCACAAAGGTGCGTAGCCCGTCCAGGCCCGACGGCAGGATCAAGCAGACAGGGGGGCAAAAGCAGTTACTGAAGGGGCACAACTATCTCCACTCAGTGAACAGCTGCCAAGATTAACAAGCTAACCTGCTTATAATGAGCGCAACCTTATTCCACTTAGCTCTATATTTGCCTTATATGGAAGGTAGCCTACACCAAACACACATGAAAAAGAATTAGATAACATGATGAATTATTACGTGCGACTAATGTTTGATTAGTGTAAACGGCACCGTCAGCTAGAAAATCCATGCAGTTCCTGTGAATCTTCTGGGAGGGCATTGCTCCTTCATGCCACCCCTTTTTGCCAGGTCTGGAATGGTCTAATTTTGTACGTTAAGATGGCCACAACTGTTGGAATTTTGTGAGTTGCACTCTGATTGGCTGTCTGCACTACCCTGTATACACACTTTAGTGCACTAGTTTTTATCAGTCCAACAAAAAAACTTTTCATCTTTATCAGGCTAAATTCTAGCTAGTCACTAGTCACAAAAAACTCTGCTCTACACTGAGCCTTTTGGAGCAAAATGTGGGCATTGAATTGAATTCACAGTAGTGTCTGCGCAGGACACTTTTTTCAGTCCCGCTCCCACAGGCAATCGGAATCATTTGTCCTGCTCCCGCCCGCAACTGAAATGTTTTGGCCTGTTTCTGCCTGCACAGGTCCATCAGCGCGAACTGACATGCAAAGTTTGACATAGTCTACTCACAAATACATTATCCTAACCAAATCCCACCAAATGCCAATTTTTTAAACACAAAGCAGGAATTAAACCACAGAGTTGCTATTTTTGGTGTTTCGCTGGGCCGCTGTGGTCGTCGGACTGAAGGCTCTGTCGTCTCTGTAAGCTACAAGAATTTGCATGTTGCTTTGCAGCTCTTTAGAATGACTTCTTTCATTTTAACTGTTCTACTGTTACCATTTTATATTGTTTATATATATGATTTAGTGATCTTTCTACTTTATTTAGGCTATTCAGTAATTTGCGGGATTCCTCTTCATGCGTGTTTCAGCCCGCTCCCCCCTGAAGGGGTCTGGTTTCCCACCTACAACACTGACAAATAGTCCTGCACCGCAAGATATGAGATATTAGACCTCTAATTCACAGTATTCTGTCTTTAAAAGTAATCAAGAGTTTCATTTAACCTGTTAGCTGTCACCCTGTTTTTACCTGAAATGGCATACTCAAAGTTAAAGGGGTGCTGTTGTCACATACTTTGGGCTACATTCATGATCTTGGTCTCATTTGAAAAGTAATACTCTCATGGTTTTTTGCCAACCAATAATGGTATGAATTACTGACACAGAGTAACAGAGGCTAGAACGCCTGATTCATTACAGGAGAAGGAAAAAAATGTTGAAATAACTTTCATTGTATATGAATGTAACAAGATTTTAATCAAATTCATTTTGGAGCATTTCTATTGATCATTTTGTCATGAAATATTGACACAGTGTAAGGGCCATCTAGCATTTCAAATTATGTAAAAAAAAGACAAACATTTTGATATAAGGTTTTGTTCCAACAGCTATTCATTTATAATTAATTTTTGAATGCAATTACAGTGTTAATCATAGCATTGCTAAATTATTAGGATGGACCATAAAACTTACTTTAGGATCTATTTACTTTATCAGCCATTCAAATTTATAAGTTTGGAACAAAAAATAAAAATACATCATATTTACTTCTTATACATGATAAGCAAAGAGAATGTCAGGAGAAAAGCAGCCGATGGTGTAGGCCAGCTGTACTTTGTTTAATTACGTACGCCTGTAACATGAAATTAACTCATTAAATCAATCAAACAGTTAAGTATGGATCAGCGCTCATGCTAGCTGCAGTAAATGATAAAAGTTGTCAGATTTATGACCTTTCTGATTGTCCCTCCAGAGGAGATCTGCACACTGGTCATAGCAGAAGCTTTCCCTGAAGATGGAGGCCTGTTCTGCTGCACTGCTACAAACCAGTACGGCTCTGTCAACTGTACCGCTCAGCTCACCGTCACACCAGGTGCGTTCAAATGCACAAATACATGAAGTATCACCAATATATCACCACAGTACAACCACATGCAGCACTAAATGGAACGCAATCATATTTCTAACAGAAATATTGTGAGTGTTGTCACAATACCACTTTTTTCTGATACTGATATTGATATTGAAATCTTTAGTATTGTCTGATATCGATTTGATATTCCTTTCTTAAAAAAATTAGTGTTAGTAGTAGTTAGTAGTGAGTAGTTTGAGCATCATGATTAAACTACTCAAACACTCTACTACCCCACAGAAGGGAATATACGACTGACATCATCACATCACACTGTGTGTGCTATAGTTTTTGATCCAATTCATTCTACTTTTCCCTCTAATAACCTATCCAGAGTTTTCTGCTTATATCGGCCCAATACTGATACTTGGTTTTCAATTGGTGCCATCTCTAAATATGATATATGACGTATTAAACTGTAACACTTGGTTCAAATCAAAGGCAGTGTTTCTTTTTCTTTAAGCATCGAAACATGAGGTCATGATTATCAAGAGGCGAATATTTACACAAACCATATTACTCAAGCCTAATAAAGTAGGTGCGATGTTAAAGATTCAGCTGCTAGTTGTTGAACTGTTATGACTTGCTTATGCAGTATGATGATTAATGTCCCTGATGCAACTGTCGAATAGGCATCACGTCATTTGTTTATAGCGAAAGAACTAAAACTATTGTCTTTCTTAAGAAAGGAGACAACTACCTCATAATGTACTTCTCTTCCGTCAGGTGTGATGAAATATGGTATTTTATGAAAATGAGAGTGTTGCTTAAGATCATATCCACCTTGTCTTTAGTCTCTTTAGTCATGCCTTAGTCTGTGTGTACATTGGAGTTTGGGTGTGGATTCTTAAAAGGAAAGGTTGTAAAATGGAATCTTTGGTGTAATTCCATGGAAGAACTAAACTAAAGGAAGTTTCCTAAACAGTCTTTTCATGGTTCTCTGAATTTTTTTTTTGTGAATTAAAGTTTAAAGAGCCTCCTCATAATGTAAAGGTTCTATAACAACTTAAGGTTCTTCCTAGAACCACAAAACCAGGACCCTTTTATTTTTAAGTATGTTTTCTGTGAGTGATTTTTAAATCAAAAATGAGTACTGGAAGCAGAATCTAGATCAGCAGTCTAATGCAGGAGAAAGAAACAGCGTTTGTTTCTGCTGATGAATCAGTCCACTACCAGTGCAATCACGGCGGAGCTCCAACCCAAATAAACAGGGATTACATGCATTCATACAGGCTTAGATAGACTCCAAACAAACAGGTTCTGCATATGCTCCCTCGGGGTCAGAACCTCACCAGCAACCCAGCAAAGCAGACTGAAGAAGTCTCTATAGCTTACTGGAACAGACAAGGGATAAACTAGACTGGAATAAGTCTAATTAGACACTTTTGGGTAAACCTTTTATTATTGCCATAAGTGTAGTAAGGGCTGTTTGTGAGTTGGCTTTACATCATGACTTTGGATTTTGTTCAGTAAATGCTGATCCATTAAGTATCCTGGCATTTTTTGTTCCTTTTAGACCATGTTTGGTTTACATTTTCAGTGAGAGGCAGGTCTGGACGGCAGACAGGCCAGTCTAACACCCACACTCTCTGATTATGCAGCTATGCTGTTGTAACCCATGCAGAATGTTGTTTGCTGTTATCATGATGAAAAAAGCAAGGACATCCTATAAAAAACCATTGTGTAGAAGGCAGCATATCACTGTTGTCTGAAGAAAACCTCATATTTCCAATTTTGTAATTTTTCAGTTTTTGACATAATTTGAAAATGCCTGCCTTGTCCTTTACATTGTGTGTAAATTCCATGATGAATTTGAAAGAAAATACCCAAAACGACTTGAAAAAAAGTCTGGAAAAAAGTATGTTTTTTCCTCCTCCTGTGAAGTTATCATTTTGGAGACATGAGTTTTTTTTCCAACAACAGTGATATGTTGCTCCAAAATGTATATATATCAGATAGCAATAATGGGGCCTTAACAGATATGCATGTTACCAATGTAACGGGCACTAATATACCCCCATACATGACAGACTTTGGCTTTTGAACTTGTAACAAACACTGGTAACAATCTGCATGGTCCTGTTCTTCTTAAGCTGGGAAGACGTTCATTATTTCCATAAACTATCTGAAAGGCCCAGAAAAGGCGGCAGCGTTTCTGGACATTGTTGACATGTGGCTTCCACTGTGCATAGTACAGTCTTAACTTGCATTTAGTGGATGCAGTGATGCATGGTGTTTCTTGATATTTGAATATTTCACAAACAAGAAAAAAAATTATTTAATTTTTAAGCCCAGCTGGCAGCCCTACTGTACAATCAATAATAATTTTAATCAAATTTAAAACAGAAAGAAGTATCTAGTCTACTTATGAATGCAAATGTGGTATCAATGTAAAGTTTAGAATCCACACTTTCAACAGAATTTCCCTTGTTTCAGTGAGCTACATGTGAGGAGACATTGAATAGTTTCCTTTTTTACTGATACATGTTATTGGGAGTAGGCTTTTCATATACAAGAAATATCAGTGCTATATTGCGAGAAACAAAATGTTAAGATTATTAGAGAAATATAAATGTTTCCATTAACGTCAGATGTTATTCTTTTCAAAAATTCTTCACTTCTGAAATTGTTACAAATAGTTATACAGCATTTTGGAACTCTTCAATTAATAAAAATGTACACCATGCTTTTGTTATTGTCACCGAAGGGTTAACGTTTGAACACTTTAGGTGTGGGAAAAGTAGGAAACCAGTTTATAAGTATGTAACACCTTATTTGAACCATCATTTCCTGATCACTTCCATTAGTGTTCATAGGAATTAGACCCGGCAGGATTGGATGCCAAGTCAATTTAAAGAACAAAGAAAGGAAATTCTAACTACTGCTTTTGTATTTTCCCCACTTAGTGGCCGAGGAGTCGTCTAGCAACGGCGTATCCGGAGACGACAGTGTGTTTGAGGACAACCAGTCATTTCCACCCCCTCCTCCACCCACCGAGATCAGCCTGCTTGAACTCCCACCCAAGACCCCACCCAGCGCTGAGGCCTTCCAGATCAACGAGCTGGACATCTGGCCCAGTGTCACAGCGACGCCTGTTCAGGTGGCCACAGGTACCGAGCACCAGCCCAATGGAACTCTTCCCAGCAGCCATGCCCCAACCAGGTTGACCAAGGAAAGCCCCCTATCACCAATGAATGTGAAAGAAGCAGCACCCCCAGCAGGAGAAACAGCTCCACCTACATCTCCATCTACAGCCAAAGATGGCCCTCCGATTCCCACCAAGCCCAAACCCAAACTGTAAGTAAAACACCTTTTCTCCTGCACTCCAGTACTCTCACACTGCTCTGACTCATGAATGACTTTTCCCAAAAGCAGCAGTGAAAACATGGTGAAATCACTCCTGAGAGGCTTTTCCAAAACCATGGCAGTCAATCAAGTTCATATTAAATTGTCAGCTTCACAAGGCATGAAGTCATTGTTCATCTCAGTTTGTAGCAGCTTGAGAAGGAAGTTAGACAGATCTTAATGCAGATTATAGTGAACTAGAATTCCCTGGAATGCCTGGAATGCTGGTCCTGGAGTAGCCTTACCCTGATCTAACACAGCCATCTCAAGGGTGTTAATTAGCTGATTAGGTCTGTCGATACAGGTTATAAACTGAAATGTAATTCATTACGTACAGTCATATGTGAAACTTTGGATGCCCCTGGTCAAATTACAGTGGCAAGAAAAAGTATGTGAACGCTTTGGAATGACCTAGTTTTCTGCATTCATTTCTCATAGAATGTGATCTTCGTCAAGTGACAATTATAGACAAACACAATGTGCAAAAGCTAACAACACACAAATAATTATAATCTTTTATGTCTTTATTGTGTACAGCAATTAAACAATTATAGTGCTGGTGGAAAAAGTTGGATTTAACAACTGGTCAAACCTCCTTTGTTAGCAATGACCTCAAACAAGCGTTTCTGGTCGCTGCGGATTGGACCCTCATGCTGATTGTTTATTGGTCTAATCTGCCTTACAAAACTGCTTCAGCGCAGCCATATTCTATGTGTAAACGACTGTCTTAAGGCCTTTTAAAGTCATTCTGTGGTGGATTTTTTGCATCGTTTAGGGTCATTGTCCTTCTGCATTACCCAGCTTCTGCTGACCTTCAGCCAGCGGACAGCTACCGTGACACGATCCTGTACACCTTGATAAACTTGAGAATTCTTTTTTCTCTTTGATGTTGGTGATTGGTCCAAGCCCTGAGGCAGCAAAGCAGCCCCAAATCATGATGCTCCCTCCACAGTACTTCTTGTTTTTTTATGTTGTATACGTAATTCTGTATATTCTTCCCAAACAATTCAATCTTAGTTCCATCAGTCCACAAAACTTTTTCCCAGTAGCATTTTGGAGTGTTAGGCTGCTTTTTGGCAAACTTCAGACATGCTGCACTTTTTTATGGTGAGCAGCGACTTTCTCCGTGCTGTCTTGCCATGGAAACCATACCTGTTCAGTGTTTTTTCGTATGGCGGATTTATGAACCAAGATGTTAACCATTTCTAATGACTCCTTCGAGCCGTTAGCTGTTACTGTAGGGTTCTTTTTCATTCTGTGTTGTGTCTTTGGAGTGATCTTGGCTGGGCACCCATTTCTGGGGAGAGTAGACACAGCACTAAATTGTCCTTATTTATAGACAACTTGTACACTGATTGATTCTTTGAGATCACTTTGTTTTTGCTGTAACTATGTTATAATTCCAAAAGGTTCACTTACTTTTTCTTGCATACTTTTCGTGTAAATAGGTTAACACAACCTATAAAGAACACATTTCAGCACATTTTAATGCACAATTGCTGTTTATCTTCTGAATTTAACATATTGCAAAAATAAAAAAAGATATGGCACATTTTATATTTTATGTTTCATTTTTCCTAATATGATAAATTTACAATTATGGCACTGAAATTAGCAGAACAATGGCATATTTAAGCTTTTAGGATGTGTTAATTTTCACTTCACACAGTCAACAAAATTGACCAGTAATTTTATTATGGAGTATTCAAACATTTTGCATACTATTAAGTAATTATATAACTTGCATACTATTCTGTAATTATGTAAATATATAAGTTTTTTAATAACATTTAAACAGTATAGCAAAATAAAACAAATAACTCTGGAACTAGGCCTTGATGCCGTTGTTCCAAATAAGTGTGCACAGGTAGAGGTTGACAGCACCAATCACTTTGCAAAAAACCAAGAAACTGGGACTGGAAGCAGGTAAAGACTAGTGAAGTCTTGATCTTGACTTTCACTCTCATTTGGGCTCGGCCTTGACTTAATCTCTTTAGACTTGGTCTTGGATTGATCTCGACTAGTCATACACTCCACAAAGGTGGTCTTAACTACAGCCGTAGCAGAGATATTCCAGAACCAGGTCTGGGAACTGCTCATCTACGAAAGCTCTCTAATGAAACTGGCCTCAGATCAGCAAGGAGACTCAGGAAGGTTTTGGTGTGCAGCTGTGAGGCTGTGAAAGAGATAGATAAAAGGGGAAGCCCACATACAGATGAAAAGCATTTGGTCCCTTTAGGATCTTGACAGAGTGATATCATTGCGGCGCGCCAGAGATGGTCGGAGGAGAGTGCGCGAGACGTGTGTGTGTGTCAGTGAACAGCTGTGCAGCAGTTCCGCAGTTCCTTCCTGCCCTGTACTGCGTGCCAATTTGCCACTGTATCAAATATGTCTCAAACAATAAGGCTATTCAGATGTGAACTGAAGTACAAAGGTCGGGAACAGCATCATATGTGTGTGTAGTGTCTAGCGATGATGTGTGTACTGCCTGGCTTCTGCTACATGTGCTGCTGAAATGTGACTCTCTCCTCATCTCTGCTAGTGGCTCAAAATGATTTCCCTTGATTTGTGGGTTAACTCAGGGTTAAGTGGCTAGCTCAAGGGCGTAAATGTAGTCCTTTTATGTCTTTAGTTGCTTTTGTAGTGACCACAGGAGATCAGAAAGTACATTAAGTTAATTGTTTTAGAAGATATTTAAATATGCTTAGTTCTAAATACATTTTAATGCAAAATACATTGGCCCCCAAAGTAGTGGGAAGTTTGTGCCAACTTAGGAATATATTAAGGTCATTGTGTGGAAACGGCATTTATTTTCAGAAGACCATTCCAAGAGCTTTCAGATGGCAGTTGGTGCAGTTTGTACACTTCTGACACCAATGTAAGAAAAACAGCCTCAGACTTTGATGTTTCCACTTCTGTGCTTTACAGTACTCTTCAAGAACTTCATTAAAGTCTATCAATATTTGAAGTGTCCAAATACATTATTTATGGGCCTTTCAGTGTCTCTAACCTACTTTAAAGTCAACTTGAAATCAAATTGCACCTTTTTTGTTAAGTATGATGCATAATATCATGTAATGCAAAGGGTAAAATTCTTCTTATTTTTTATATGTTTGAAATGTACTGACTTTTGCCTCCCTCTAACTCACATATCTTCTGAGTTTTGATTCTGTCACCATATACCAGCAGCCCATAATATAATGTTTCACCTGCCCCTCTCACCACCCCCACTCACCGTCAACTTAAAATGCTCAGCTAGCTCAAAGACCCTCCCTGATACTATGTTTCACTCAAAAATATGTCACGGTATGGAAGAAAAAATGCACGTAATTTTCCAATTCACACTGACTCCAAACTGATAATTTAAAAAGTTTTTTTTTATTTTAACTGATTATCAAAGGACATATAATAAAATGTGCTTATGTCTAAACTGAATTGAGTGAAGTAGCTCCAGGTGTCCCCCATCTAACATAGCCTTGTCATGCCATTGCAGGTATTGCATTAACTAAAGGAAAATGACTAGCTTGAAAGCTTTTGTTAAGCTGATCATATTGATTTAGTTGCAGGTGGAAATCAAACTTAGAGTTTGCTTATATGTGCAACTGATTTGCCACAATGAAGGAAACGATTAGGAAAGCTCAAGGTGAACCAAGTCAGTGGGATTATTTTTCATTCACCAGGGACTTTTTCTGCAGGTACATTTGTTTACATCAAATTTGTTGATTCTACCCAATGCTTTCCTGGAGATAAGACATTTTATATATGCCTCATTTTGGCAATTTTAACACAAAAATCTTACTTGGATTGTTCTTCAAAGAATCATTTTTGAACCATCTTCAAAGATCCTCCACATAATGTAAGGGTTCTGGACCAGGTGAAAGTTTTTTTTCTAGAACTGTACATCCAAACCAAGAACCACAGAGGAACCATTACTTTTAATAGTGTGCTTGCTTCTTCAAGGGTTCTTCAGTAAAGGCAATGGTTATATATAGAACTGTGACAAAGAACCATATGAATGGTTAAATGATTCTTCTTTACAATGGAAAATGTGCTGTATATGGTTCTTTAAATATGGTCCTGTATATGTGTGTAACCACATGCACCATTTATTCAGTGTACTATGTACGTTGTGCAGTTATGAGAAGGAGAAATTGAAGTGTGGACCTACTTGCAGAATAAAGCTTTAATATCTAAGTTTCAGTGCCAGATTTACTGCATTGTTCTTCTATCATCCATATCTTTAGCATTAAGTAAACTGAGCTTCCCACATTTTTCAGCGTATTTAAACGTTACACAATGCAGATGCCAGACAACCAGTTGCTGTATACAAAAGAACAGGTGTTAAAGAAAAGAGGTTAGAGTAGACAATGGAATGGAGTGAACTGAGGGTGGGTTGTGTTGAACTAGTATCGGTGCAGTAGCTGAATTTGATACAGCACTGCTGAAGTTTGGACCATGTCGCAGTGTGTGGAGCGTTAGAAGGGATGTGGGGGTGGATCTGTGTGTGGCATGAGAATAAGAGAACGGAGATATTGAATTGTGTGGGCTTTGTGTGTGTTCTGAAAAGGCTCTGTGGGTTCTTTGTCTTTCTGGTCCATATCCAGTGTATATCGTTTCAGGTGCATTTACATTCTTGTGCATTTGGGAGGCTCGGATGGGAAGTGTGAGGGAATGTCTGTGTGACTATCTATGCACTGATTCGTGCTTGAACGGTATTTTGGTGATGTAGCATGACTGGTGTTTGGCCTGCAGAGCTGCGAGTGAGAGTTGATTTGGTTGTTACGCTTTTGTCATCTTCCCTTCAATATCTCCCTCAATTCTGCACTTCCAGATTGAATGATATAGTCAAGCATCACTCACATGAAAGGTAAGACATTCAGTTCATCCTGGATTCAATAGCATGGACTGGTGTGGCCTAGAGGTGGGCAATATGGCAAATAGTATTGCAATGC